AAGTTCACAATTTGATGAGTTTTAACAAATGTTTTAATTGTGTAATCAATACCACAGTCATAACAGGAAAATTTCCATCACCCCCACAGTTCCCTCCTGTCCCCTTGCTATCAGTCTCTTCCTCCAGTCCCTGTTAATCACTAATTTTGCCTTTTCTGCAGTATTGTATAAATGGAACCATACAGAAGGTAGTCTTTGTCTGTCTGGCTTTTTTCTTTTAATTTAGCCTAATGATCTTGAGATTCATCCATGTTGTTTGTATCAGTAGTTCATTCCTTCTTATTGTAAGTCTATTGCATTGAATGGATGCATCATGAATTGTTTATCCATTTAGCCAATCTGGGCTGTTTGTAGTTTGGGGGTATCTATCATGAATTAAGCTGCTATGAAAATTCCAGTAAAAGTCTGTGTGTGAAGATATGTTTTGATTTTTCTTGGGTAAATACCACAGTGGGGTTGCTGTGTTATATGTAAGTTTATGTTTGACTTTATAAGAAAGTGCTGAACTGCTTTCAAAAGTGACTGCACTATATAGCATTCCTCCAGCAGTGTGTCAGTGTGTCAGTTTCTCCATCTTTGTCAACACTTGGAATTAGCAGTTTTTAGTTTTAACCATCTAATGGATGTAGACTGTTATTTCCTTGTGTTTTTAATTTACTTTTTCCTGATGATTAATGATGTTGAGCATCTTTTCCTGTGTTTATTTGCCATTCATATATCTTCTTTGATGAAATGTTCAAGTCTTTTGCCTATTTAAAAAGCATGCTGTTTGTCTTATGGCATTGTGAGAGATTTTTTGTTATTGTTGATTTATATTTTAATATTCTAAGTTACCAATCCTTCAGCAGATAAATGTTTTATAAATACTTTTCTCCCAGTCTGTGATTTGCATTTTCATTTTCCTGACAATGTCTTTTGAGGAGCAGATTTTTTTTCTTATTTTGATGAAGTCACATTCATCAGTTCTGTCATGCTTTCCTTTATGTATGCCAGGAAATCTTTGCCTAGTTAAACCTAGGGTCACAAAAAACATTCCCCTATGTTTTCTTCTAGAAGTTTTGTTGTTTTAGCTTGAACATTTTGGTATTTTGAGTTTGTTTTTATAGATGATACAAAGTTTGAGATTTGGGGTAGATTTTTATTTGTTTTCATATGAACACCCAATTGTTGGAACATCATTTCTTCAAAAAACTATTCTTTTCCTCATTGGAATACCTAGACATCTTCGTCAAATATGAATGGGTCATATTTGTGAAGGTCTATTTGTTGATTCTCTCTTGTTCTGTTGATCTGTATTCCTCTCATTATACCAGTACCACAAGGACTTTATTAATATGGCTTTAATAGTAAATCTTGAAATCAAGTAGTGTTGAATTCAGGAGAATTAACAATTTAACAGGATTGAGTTTTCTGAGCTATGAACATGGTGCCTCTATTTAAGCCTGCTTCAATTCTTCTCAGTAGTGTTTTGCAGTTCTTAGAGTACAAGTCTGCTCATATTTTCTTAAATTTATGCCTAATTATTTTATATTTTTTGATGCTATTGTAAATGGTATTACTTTTGATTTTAATTGTTAATTGTTCACTGCTAGTACGTAGAACTAGTGTTGATTTTTTTTGTATGTTGACTTTCTGTCCCACAGCTTTGCTAAACTCATTTATGCTAGTAGTATTTTTGTAGATTCCTTAGGATTTTCTACATAGACAGTCATGCCACCTATGACTAAAGTAGTAAAACTACTTCTTCTCCAGATCTTTGCGTTTTATTTCTTTTTCTGCTTTACTGCATTGGCTACAGCCTCTGCTACAATGTTGAATAAAAGTGATGAGAGTGGACATTCTTGCCTTGTTTTTTGATCTCAGAGTGAAAGCATTGAGTCATTTAGTCTTTAACCATCAAGTATGATGTTACCTGTAGGGTTTTTTTTTTAATAGATTCCCTTTATAGGTTGAGGAATTTCCTGTTTCCTGTGTTCTATGAGTTTTATTATGGACACGTGGTGAATTTTGCCAAATTCTTTTCTGCATCTCTTGATAATCATCAGTTTGTGGTGGGTCTTGGGCTGTTAATAAATTGATTCTCAAATGTTAAGCCATGTTTCAAATGTTACTGCGGTAAACTTGGTCATGAAAGGTTTATCATTTTTCTGTATTGCTGGATTCAGTTTCTTAGTTTTGTTTAGGATTTTTGCTACTATGTTTCTGAGGATATTGATTTATAGTTTTCTTAATGTCTTTGTTTTAGTGTCAGGGTGATGCTAGGCTCATAAAATGAGCTATTTGTTGTTCCTTCTTTGTTTTCTGTTAGGAATTTGTGTAAAATTGCTGTTATTTCTTTGTTAAGTATCTAGTGACATTCACATCTAAAGCCATCTGAGCCTGGAGTTTGCCTTATAGGAAGGGTTTCTACTATGAATCCAATGTCTTTAATAGACTAGAGATGTTTAGATTCTGTGTATCTTGTTGAATGAGTTTTGGTAGTTTGTGTCTTTTATGGAATATTTCCATTTTGTCTAATTTGTTGTATTTATTGTTCATAGTATTTCTGTATTATCCTTTTCAGTGTCTGTAGGATCTGTAATGATGTTCCCCTCTAATTCCTGGTACTGGTATTTTATAGATTGGAATTCTTTTTCTTGGTCAGTCTATTAGTTTTACTGGTATCATTGGTCTTTTTAAGGAGCCAGCTTCTGAGCTTATTGATTTATTGTTTTTCTTACTTCTATTTCATTGATTTCTGCTCTGTTTTATCATATTCATTTTGGGTTAATTTGCTCTGTTTCTAGGTTCTTAAGGTGGAAGCCTAGATCATTGAATTGAGACCTTTCTTTTCTAATATAGGCATTTAATATTATAAATTTGCTCTAAGCATTCTTTTAGCTGTATCTCACAAATTTTTACATTTGGTGTTTTTATTTTTACTCAGTTTGAAGTATTTTCCAGTATTTTATGTTTCCTTAAGATTTCTTTCTTGAGTCATGGATTCTTTTAGAAGTTTTTAAAAATTTTTTTCAATATTTGGGAGTTCCCCGGCTATCTTTTTGTTTTGGTTCCTAATTTGATAATCTGGTAGTCAAAGAGCGTACTTAATATGATTTTAATCTTCACATTTGAGACTTGTATTATACTGTAGAATGTGGTCCATCTTGTGCACTAAAAAGAATGTGTATTCTGCTATTGTTGGGTGAAGCACTCAGTATTTGCTGGCTAAATCAAATTGATTGATAATGTTTTTCAAGTTTTTCATGATAGTTTTAAAAATTATATTATTTTTGGTGGCAGAGTAGTTAGATTTACTTAATTATTTTTAGAGGAGGTACTGGGGATTGAACCTAGGACCTTGTGTGTGCTAAGCGGGCACTGTACTAATAAAAATTACATTATTTTTAAACTAATAAAAGTAGGTTATGTTTAGATGGTTGGGAGTTGTGATGGCTGAATTTAAAAAAATATTTCAGAGGGGTATGTTTGCTTTTTAATATGCTTTAGAATCACATAGATTTGTGTTCCGTTGCCAGTCCTGCAATTTATTACCTTAGCAACTCCTCTGGGCCTAGTTAGTCTTTGGATAGAGATAATACAAACTCCTCAGAGCTATTGTGAGGATTAAATGAGGTAATATACATAGAATTCTTGATCTAATACCCAGTGTTAGTAATTCTTGAATAAGTAGGAATTATTTTTCCATTTTTCTGGCTTGCAAGCTCGGCTGTCAAATATCTATTTTAGTGTTTGATTCATTTCGCTGGTTAACTTATTTTTCTTTTTTATATCACCTTTGGCCTGCACCATGATGTTTCTCTTTGCTTTTATATGCCTAAATTTTATTGACAGTCTCTTTAAAGCCTTAATTGAGTATAGGTTGACTTGGTTTTCTGAAGAAAAAAAATTGTTCTGACATTGTGTTACCTGCTTGGCAATAAAGTATTAGAGGAAAACATAGGCGTGCTGGTGCGGTAGACATACCTGCAGGAGCTGTAGAGCCATCCCATGTTACTTCACTGTCTGAAATTCATTCTGTTTTTCTTCTCCTTCAGATAAACCGAGAAAGCTGGTGTACCATTGAGCCGTGCCCTGATGCAGCATCTCTTTTGGCTCCCACGCAGAGCCCAGGTACGCAGGGATTTTCCAACTTCCGGTTTGTTTGAATAACTGCATCCAAACTGTCCATTTTCTAGAGCCACAGTCCCATTCTAATAACAGGTTGTTTGATTCAGAGATCTGTCCTTCCTTAGCATGTTAAAGGGGTAAATCACAAGAAAGGGGTGTATGTGATTTGAGTCAGCAGGTGTTTTGTCTCACAGTTGAAAATGAACACGTGTAATATAATTACGTAAGTTTCATTTTAGTGGTAAGTTTTCACGTGTGGCTTTATGATTTATTAATCCACTTGTGAAGGCATATGTCCTTTGCATATATGTACAGGTGATAAAGTTTTCTTAATATGGCAAAGCTATAAATATGTATTATTAAGGACTAAACTTGTAGCTCTCAGTTTTGGCTATTCATTGAAATTATCTGGGGAGCTTTAAAATATACTGAAGTGTGAATCCTTCCCCTAGAGATTGTGATTTAACTGGCCTGGGGTGTGACCTGGGCATCAGAATCTTTAAAAGCTCCTTTGGTTCCTCTGCGGTGTAGCCAAGATTGAGAACCATAATCTTTGGAAGTATTGTCAGCAATTGAGTCTTTCCTTAAGTACCCATGAGGTATTAGTAACATCAGATGAGGGTAAAATGCTCTTAAGACCTTGCTTGTTAATGACACAGCACATAATTTGTGGTTGGTTAGGAGTCCTAACTTTTTACCCAAGTTTAGCCACTAATTCACTATGATGTAAGGGCCGTTCCCTAATGTCTGTGTGCTCTGTTGTCTCCCACCCCTGGAGCATTACTGGCCTTCCCTGAGGCAGCAGGGAGTTGGGGGAATGGTCCCAGTGACACAGCAAGCAACGTAGGTCCCTGAACTGCTACGTGGACACTGGTGGTTTCTGGGCTCTTGAGTTAATGCTTTACCCGACAGGTGAACTTGCCTGGTTTTGACAGACCTGCTCTAAGAATTGCTGAGCCCTTGTTCACTAGCCTTTTAGAAACAGTTTAGCTGTGGATGTCCTGCGGTAGTAGTAAATTTTAAGACAAAAGGTTCAAATCCTCTACCTCCAGAGAAGTTTCATACTGATTCTCAACCAAAGGAAGTGTTGGAAGCAAACACGAAAAAGAGGTGTTTTTTTCCCCCCTATTTTTCTGTCATATGGAGAAAGAGGTAAAGGAATTACGCTGTAGTTGTGTTTAGGGTCTGTGAATATTATAAGATTGACCCTGTTCACAGATTTAACTGACACTTCTTCTTGTCTGCTAGTCCCCTAGAATCTTCTACTCGAAAGTTTACTACTTACCATGTTTTGGTTCCTTAAGCTGTATGAGGGTTTTTCTGAAAGTGTAATGACTCCGAGCCGCTTAAGCAGTGAAATTGTCTGCCATGTGAAGGTTAAATGAGGTTGCCTCACAATTTGAATATTCATAGGAAGTTTCTCCACATACTGCAGTTTATTTTACTCATTTAAAGAAATGAATTTTGAACCCCTGTGTTTTTTCCCCAGGGCATAATCTTGAATTCTCTTGACCTCCTCCATACCCCAGCCCCAGAAGACTTTAGTCTTTTTAGGGTGGTTCTTTTTAAACCTCAGTTTAGCAGACAGAATCCAAGGTCTTGATGCTTCTAAACTTCAGCCCTGAGATTTTGATTTTTAGGCATAGGTTTTGTTGTTGTTGGGGTTTGTTTGTGTGTTTGATGTATTTAGGTGAATTCTAGGTACTTTCAGTCTTGCAGGTTTCTTTTACTTTTAAGCATAGCTCAAGAGAGCAATATAGACTAAATAAGATAATAACTTTTAAAATCACTGCATACTTTTCAATTCTGGATAAACACATATCTATTTAAATACAAATAAGTACAGATGCATTATGATTAGCATGGTTCAGCAAAGCCCAGTGAGCGTGCTGCTGGTAAGTTTTCCTACCCTTCCTCAACTGTAATTTGTTTGCATATATACAATTTAAACCCAGATAACTAGATAGCACTTTAAAAGTGCACATGTTGCTAACTTTTAAAAAGCAAGTGGCTCAGAACACAGAAGTCAGACAAATTTATATATGGGCCATAAAATGGGACTGGCCCACCTCAAGGTGTAGTGTCCTTACTGGATACTTGTCAGATCACACGTTAGGTTAATGAAGCCTTAACTCCATTAGTCATGTTTATCACATGCCTGCCGTGTGCTGAGGGACAGAGTTCTGGTTACTATATGTATAAACCCTTTCTAACTGTCATTACAACTATTTTAGGGGAGGTGTGAATCACCCCATTTCACTGCTATGGCAATGGAGACTTAGAGGGTCAAATTATTTCTTGCCTGGGATCCTTTTGCTATAAGTAGTCAGATCTAGATTTAAGCCACATCAGTCTACCTCTAAAACCAGTGATTGTTCTTCCTGTTTATATTTTTGATTGCTGCTCCACTTTATTCTTAGGAAGGGGGCACATATGAAGCAGGAAACATTGCATTCACTTTGGAAACTTGCTGACACGTCTGACATGGGATATAGATTACCTTTGCCTTAGGAGCCCCCCCCCCCAATATGTGGGAGTTTCATAATGGCTTAAGGTCCTTTTCTCTCCCTTATTCCTTGTTTTCCTACTCTCCCCTCCACCCCAACTCAGCAGTCCACATTGTATCACAGCAGCAAACTCTCATCCCATTCTTGGTTTGTGGTCCCTTGGAGTGCTGGCTTGGATTTATTTTCTGGGTGAGGTATTCCTCCCAGGGCTGAGTCTGGATCTTCCCTGTGAATTTTCCATTAGAATGTCTTGAGCTACTCTGTTTTCCAGTCTGGAATTTGGACGTGGTCTGTTTGACTGCCAGCTGGACGGCTAGCAGCTCAGCATAGTTGCTGTGACAGCCCTTTCTTTCTTGGCCAGCCCCCCTGTTTTCCCCTCAACCACGGAGTAGAGTTTTTGATTTTTCCAAGTGGGGAAACAGAGGGGGAACAAGTAGAAAAATCACACCCACCAACTCTACCTAAGTTAGTGCATGGTCTGAAATGTGGAAAAAAACCCTCCAGAATACCCATGCATTCCAGTCTTTTAAAGGAAGGGTTATTCCATTGAACTAACACACTCAGAAGTAGTTTGAACCAAGGTTGAAATAGACTAAGGTCACTTTTTTCTTTAACTGGAACATTTTCAAGGTAACATGTTGGCCCTGCCTCGATTCCTGCAGCATCCTTCATGTACTTCTGTGTCGAAAGTAACCTCTTAATATGTTCATTTCTACTACAAGATTGTTAACTCCACCCACCCTCAACGCACACACCAACATTAAACATCTCTTTTTATTTGGACAATCCCTAGTATCTAGTCAAATGCCTAACTAATAGAAAGGTGGTTTTTTGTTTGGGAGGGGTAATTTGTTTGTTTGTTTTTAATGGAGGTACTGGGGATTGAAGCCAGGACCTCGTGCATTCTAAGCATATATTCTACCACTGAGTTATTCCCCCCAAAAAAGGTAGTTTCATTGACAGGTGATTCATGACCTGTATCAATGCAGTGCCTCTTTAATTCTTCCTTTAAAATTCCTGGCTACTACAGGGCAAATAATTTTTTTTATTAATAATCACACACACACAGACACACACACTCACACACACTCACTCACACACACACACACACACACTCTCTCTCTCTCTCTCTCTCTGCCTTAGCATAGATTCTAAGAATTTGGAGATATTAGGGGTCATCTAGTCCAATCTCCACTTCCTCCTTCTGTGTAGACAACTTTTTCAAAACCACTTGCCACACCCACTCAGCCTCTGCTCCAGCCCCCAGCCCTTCTGGTGAACTGACTCATGACTTTATGAGGCTGCCAGCCCATTGCCCAGAGGCCCTGTTGTAGTGAAGCTTCCACTCTTCGGGCTTCATTCTCCCTCTCGAACCGCACAGAGCAGATCTGCAGCTGCCCTCAGACACGTTTTCTTGAAGCGCCTCGCCTCTGCCACCTGAATGTATCTCAGGTGTTTCCACTGAGGTGGCTTCATTACCATGCGTGCATTTTTGTCAGTCACTGTATTTAGTTTATTTAGGGACAAACAGAATCATATAGGTGCAGTGTATCTGGCACATGCTGGTTGGACTGTCCCCATTTTGGACTTGAGTACACTGTCTATTAATAGACCCTAAAGCTGTTAGTGGTTTCGTTTGCTTTGCCATCTCCTTGTATTGTCAGCTCCTCTTGAATTTGCTTTCAGCCAAAACCTCTACTAGGTAGCCAGGTTATCTACTCTATCCCTTACCACCTAGTATCACCTGAGGATTTGATAAGCATACCTGTATGTTTTTCCAGATCACACATGAAAATGCTAAGTGGAAATGCTTTGCTCTTCAAAACTTCTTGAAGAAGGTTGATATCTTTCTTGGTTTCACTATGTCTGTTGCTATTAGATGACATGTCCCTTTTTACAGAGTTAAAGGAGAAAATGTGTTAAATACTTTGCTAATTTAAATATGCCAAGTCTTTAGAATCCCTTGGTGTACCAGTGTGATACTTCTGTCAAGGCCCCCTGTGTCTGGTTCATCAGAGCCTGTATCCTAGTTGTTGAACTGAAAACAGATTCTGGATGGTACATTTTTCTTCACATTATTCCTTCAGTGTCAGATCTATTTAAGGTAGAAGTTAAATCATTGCACTTCTGTTGTTACTTGATAGAACCTGTAAGTTTAATACACGGCTCTGTTTATTAGTTATGCTCCCTCCCTCTTTGTCTTTTATCTCAGTATTTTGATAAAGTAACAGGTTTCCAGAAAGAACTTAAGTTTCAAAACAGAAATTGTTCACAAAGTCTATCACATAGTTTCCTAATAAAGAACTTGTGGTTTTTGTAGCAAAAGAAAAAAAAAATTCTCTAGCTACCAGGAAGAAAAGATTACCCTCTAAACACCTAAATGTAGGTGGAATTATGGTTCTGTATCATCATTTTATCTTTTCTACCTATGATTTGTGTTATAAACTCATGGTTATCCTGTAGTAACTGTAGCAGAAAATTAAGAGTACTGATTTGAAAGCTAACTAATTTGACTGTTTCCTAAAGCTTCTTAATATTAGAAGGGAGGGAGGGGTGAAGGAGTTGGTTGATTTAAAGGGCTGATTGTGGAAATGAAAAGAAACTGACTTTTTTTTAAAGCAGCGGTTGAATAAATCTTTTTCAGACTGTGAAAGCTTCCTGGATGTTGGACTGGGCAGAGAGTGTGCCTCAAAACAAGGTGTACTTAAAAGAGAATCTGGGAGTGAGTCTGACCTCTTTCACTCACCCGGTGAAGAAGTGGACAGCATTATCTTCTCCAAGGTACTGTTTGCCTCAGGATGTGACTCCTGCCAGTAAACTGTGACTCCTCTGAGTCTTCCAGTGCTTCTCTCCAGCTCTTAAGTGATCTTACAGGAGTATGAATACTCCCTTTTCAGAGAATGAAGCTCCAGGTTGCTGGGCCTTAAGAAAAGGCATTGGCCGTTTTATTTTCTGTAAAATTATGGCTGCTGACATGCAGGTTTTGAAGCTCACATTGGAGCCTAAAGAAATGGAAGTTCCTGAATTAAATCAGATGACAGTGAATACTTCTCAGTGGGCAGAAAGAGACCACAGCTCAGACTGTATGACTTGATGTGTGTAAACTAACCGTAGAGTCATTTCTGATTAATGTGTTTCGGCCTGGAGCTTGGTGCTGAGCCTGCTGACGTCACCCCTCCTCATCAAGCCTGCTTAATTGGAACTCTCCACATCTCCGCTCAGGAACCCAAGCTTTCTCCCTAGTGAAAAGCCAAGCCCATCCACATGAATCACCTTGTGTTTTCATACGATTTGAGTCTGTGAGGGGTTGGGGGATGCAGGCGGTTTGCTTTCTCTTGCTTATGTTTGTATCCAGTTGCAGCAAGGTGGTTTTGTCTCCTAAGAGTAGCAGAGGGCTTTCCCACGGCAGGCTCAGCAGATGGTACTCAGTCATGTGCCATGAGTGGTTGTCTTCCTAGAGAGCAGGTGAGGAGGCAGAGACATGGCAGCTCTGAAGACGCCCGTATGAGGCTTCACGATGGCTTTGGAGGGAGCGTTTGCATTAGTGGCTGAATTAGGGTCTCCAGGGCAGCGTGGTGGTGATGCTGGGTTTGCAAGTTCCGCTTGAAGAGTGGAGGCTTAGCGTTCTGGAATTCTGGTCTGAAACGTATTTAAGCCCCTGTGAATGTACCTTCAGACGCTTCCCTTTCATTTTTGTCGCTCATGTGCCTGCTTGGCCTTCCCAAGGCCGTCTCCGCCGTGTCCTTCCCCTGGGGCTCGTGGTCTTGCACGGGCCCTTGTGAAGACCCCTGAGCTCCAGCAGTCCTCTCGTTGCTGCTCACAGTGAGCCGACTTGAGGGACTCCGTCAAGTGAAAACTTCACACACTTGAAAGATCTGTTCTTCTCTGAAGTTACTAAAGGAGAGGGACACCAATATGATTTTTTTTAACCAACAGAATTTAGGTAATTTTCACTGTGATTTTGAGGTTTTCATTGTAAGGACTTCTAAAGCAGCTGCCTCCCCCCGAGGGGATTGCCATTCTGAAGATGCGTGTCTCTAAAACTGTATTGCTTTTGTCTGAGATAGATAGTATCTCGAAATTCCAACCTTAAAATGGAATCATTGATAATCACTGAAACTGGGTCATGGAGACGTGAAGCTTTGTTAATATACACACATATATATATATGAAAATTTTCTCAGTGAGAAGTTTCTTGCAAATTGGAAAGTCTCCATTAAGAAATACTTGCTCGAACCTCCTAGGTGCATAACAGCTTTCCCTGGGTGTTACTGTCTCTCAGAATGGTAGTTATTTCTGGTCACTAAATTGAATGATTTTCCTAGCTGTGGAGAATTAGAATTTCCTATATTTTGCTTAGTTATTCAAACTGGCGAGAGCATCTAGGAGATTGTTCACACAAATGGCCGGTGGTACATTTAGCAGTTTCTTCGGGATGACTGGACAGATACAATTTTTAAAAGTTGAAACATACCCCAGAGTTAACTTTTACCTACATTTTGCAGTGGAGTGCCTCAGGAAGTCCAGAAGTGGTGGCTGTACTTTGACCTCTTCGTGCACACACGAGTGTTTGGTGGCCTGGGACGAGATGTGGAGGGTCCTTACACTCCAGCTGTCTGTGACTAGGAGAAGTTTTGCACTAGTGTTTTTCTGTAGCATTCACAAAACCAGGGGTTCACGTGTGCAAGGAAAGGGAGAGGCAGGCTAGTATTTACAAAGTGCATACTATACACGAGACACTGAACAGAATCTTCTACCTGTGTGATCTCATTTCATGCTCCTAGCAACCCTGCAGGGCGGGTGGTTTTATACTCAGTGTTCTCCTGAGCACACAGAGGCTCTGATTGGTAAAGAAGTTTACTCAGAATTACTTAGCTGGTAAGTAGCAGAATTGAGATTTGTACCTAGGCCCAACTCTAAAATCTGTTCATTTTCTGTTATTTGGCTCTCATTCTCCAAGCACCTGCTTTAATAATCAGTGCTTTTATGTAGAAGCCTTGGCATGGCAGACAGGCCAGCAGCTACTTCCTTAAAAGCCTTCCTCTGTGGTCATCTGCACAATGTGTGCTGTGAAACATCAGACTGTCCCAGGGTTTCTTCCCAGGCTCTGGCCCTCCTACTCTCCCTTCTCTAAAAAGTAATCTGTAGGCAAGGCATTGCGACATCCTTTTCTGTGAACCGTGAGTGGTGCGTTAGGTCACTTCCTGCAGCCGCTTGTGTGACTCTGGCCTTACAGAGCTCTCTTGAACAGCCTGCAGTGTATGTCAGAACTTTCCACCTTAAGCTTATGTTTCCATTCAGTATGCCTGCCTCCTGGCAAGTATGACTCTTCAGTGAGTGTTAGGAGCTCCATGTTTATTCTTATGAATATTTGCTGGTTCCTAAGGTCTTTCTGTTCCATAGATAAACAGCATAAAATTAAATTTTGTTTTTAAAGTGAGAAGAAATCCTAGAATTCTTTTCGACATTAGCTAAGAAAGAGTGATTATAAAATGCACAATCTGGGCCACCCTGTTATCTAAAAGGATGATTGAGGTCAACAGAAAATACTAAGAGTTGCTGCACCTTTTCCCAAAGATAAAATGAAACCCTTAAATCTTGTTTTTTTCTCCAAGTTATAAGACATACCTACAGTTGATTAAGAAAATCAAAGTCCCCTAAGATGCTAACCCTTAAAGGAAAGTCCTCTATTTTATATGTGGTGGTTTGCTCTCAAGCACTTGATCACCAAGTCAAAAATTTTACCTTTTATTTTTAACCTTTTAGAGATAAAAGTAAATATATTTACAGAATCCAAATTAGAAAAACTATAATCACTTGTGCATAGTTACTGAAATTATTATGAGTTCAGAACTGTGAAGCAAGGATAATGCTTGCTATCAGATATTTAAGGTACTTAAAATATTGCACATAAATAGATTAAGTGATTGGCATATATTAGGTGTTTAAAATGTGAGCTTTTATTTTCAAGGCATGTGGCAGAGTGCCTTGTGTATAATATAATAGATAATAATTTATAAATATTTGGTGAATAAATGAATGAAAATTAAAGGACTAGTATTTTGGCGATATTAAGCATGATTCCTTCCAGTGTAGTAATAAGATATAAAGTATAGCTGTTTCTACATATCTTTTTATATAAGTGTATGTAATGTTTAAACCTCTCTTTATACATGTATATATCATACCTTTATGGTGTGTGTGTATATATATATCATACCTATATGGTATAATAACTCTGGTTAAGAAAGCCAGTCAGGCATTTTTTCCCTACAACACTTTATTTAAAAAATTCTGAAACAGTAAAGTTGGAAGAATTGTGCAGTGAACACCCACCACTGAGATTCTACAATTAACTTTTTATCGTATTTACTTTGTTACTTAATTATGCATCTGTCCTCATTCTTTCCACCCACCAGTCCATCTAATTTCTTCGATACATTTCAAAATAAGTTACAGATATCTTGACCCCTAAATACTTAGAATTCAGTATTTATTTATAACATTTTTTGTTTCTTATAAAATTTACATGCAAAGAAGTGCAGTCTCAAGGCTACCATTGAATGACTTTTCCCCCAGCTTTACTGAATTATAATTGACGAATGAAAATCACATATATTTGAAGTGTATGGTTTGATGTTTTGACATACATTGTGAAGTAATTACCACGATCCCGCTAACGTATCTGTGACCTCACGTAATTACCTTTTTTTGCGTGTGGTGAGAACACTTGAGGTTTACTTTCGTAGCAGATTTCATGTACCCATTATTATTACCTGTAATCACCATGGTGTACATGAGGTCTCCAGGACTTAGTCATCTCATAACTGAAAGTATGTTCCCTTTGACTAACATCTTCCCATTTCCCCCACCCCTCCAGCCCCTGCAAACAGCCATTCTACTCCATATTACTTTCCATCTGACATGATTAGATTTCCCATTTCAGTGAGATAATGCAGTATTTGTCTTTCTGTGTCTGGCTTATTTCACTTAGCATGGTGCCCTCAAGGTCCATCCATGTTGTTACAAATGGCAACATTTCCTTCTTTTTTAAGGCTGAGTGATTCTTTATCCATTCATCTGTCCACGGACACTTAGAATATTTCCATATCTTGGCTACTGTGAATAATACTGCTTTGAACATAGGAGTGCAAATACCTCTTTAAGATAGTTCTGCCTTTAATTTTTTTTTGAGGAACCTCCATACTGTCTCCCATAACAGCTGTACTTCAGTGACTTTTGATAAATGCATCCATCCATCTTTGTAACCCAAACCCGCATAAGAATGTATCACTTTGGAAAGTTTCCTCATGCCCCTTCCCATTCTGTCTCCTCCAAACTCGTGGAGGCAACAACTGTTCTGAGTCTTTTCTTCCACAGGTTAGTTTTTTCTATTTCAGAACTTCCTATAAATGGAATAGAAATATTATAATTTCTTTTGGATAAGTACACAGGAGTCATACAGTAGGTATAGGTTTAGTTTCATTAGAAGTTTTTGCCAGACCTTTTTCCAAGTGGTTGTGCCATTTTCATTCTTGCCAGCAATGAATGAGAATTCTAGTTCCACCACATCCTTACCAACAAGTGTAATTGTTTTGTTTTGCTTTAACTTTGGCGTTTCTGGTGTGCGTGTAGTGGTATCTCATTATGGTTCTGATTTGCTTTTCCTTGACGACTGCTGATTATATTAAACACATTTCATGTGTTGATTGGGCACTTGTTTATCTTCTTTTATGGAGTGTCTGTTCAGATCTTCTGCCCATTAAAACTGATCTGTTGTTGAGAAGTAGGAGTTCTGTATATGTATCCTGGATACCAATTCTTTGTTAGATTTATGTTTTGCAAATATTTTCTCTCAGTCTGTGGCTGCCTATTCACTTTCATAATGGTGTCTTGATGAACTGAATTTTAAAAATTTTGATTAAGTGTAATTTATTAGTTTTTTATGGTTATTGCTGTCTGTGTCCTGTCCTGTTACTAATTTGTCTGCCCCCAGTTGCAATAATAGCTCTGGAGTTTTTAGCAATAGGATTGAATCCTAGCTGTGCTTAGAATCACCTGGAGAGCTTGAAGAAGAAGAAAGGAAAAGACAAAAAGAAAAAAAGACTGACCCTTACCCCAGAGCAGTTAACTCAGAAACTTGGGTTTATTATGTAACCTTATTGAGCTTCAGTTTTCTCACCTATAGAATGGGAATAAGAATAGCTACTAAATCAAACAGTTGTGAGGAGTAAAAGAAGTCCTACATCTAAATCACTTAGTATGGAGCCCCGCATATGATGTGTATTTACTAAATAATTATTATTGAAATTTATGTAGTAGTTATATTGTACATATATTTAATAGTTTCTTAAGCTGTATATACACAGAGTCATCATTTAATTTAGACTTTTACATAGATAATTACATAATTATTTTGTAATTTTTATTCTCCCTAGTTTATTTGAGCTTAAATTAAACGAAACCGAAGTATTCCTGGGCTGCTGGGTCGGCTTAGCCCCTGCTCTTGAAGCTGGAACTGTCTGTGTAAGGCTGGTGTTAGAAAGATCAGCCACCCTCATACCTTTGTAGTGCTCAGTGGGCGTTCTCTCCAACGCCTAATGGGTTTTGCCAGCTTGATAACCACGTGCAGATTTTCGCATATATATATAAACCCCAAGGAAAAAGAAGCTGATGGTAGAGAGGATAGGTTTCTTGTGTGCTCCCATCCTCTCCTGTGCAGGGGGAAAACCAATTATGAAAACTCAAGGGGGAAGGATTCGTGGGTCAGTCTCAGGTACAGACTCAGTCTTTGTTTCCCCAGCGCGCTTGCTCTCTCGTGTGCAGACACATCACCCACCCACGCCTTCTCTCCTATTTCTGCCTTTTTAAAATCTCTTCTACTTTTCTGCCCTTAAACCAGTCTTAATACTCATCTTAAGAAAACAAAAAGCACCTTGTATTTAGCAGACAGTTGTATTTGGGCCATTTGCTTATAAGAATGAAAAAATTACATATATGTGTATTGACTTTCAGGGGCTTGCAACATTATTCCAAATTGTCTGGCAGAATGGGATCAATTTAACTAATACATTTGACTTACATGGAGTCAAAACTAAGTTTTTAAAACTGTGTTAAACTGATCCCATGGCATCATTCCTCCAACTGGTGATAATTTCCTAAGTCTTGAAAGTCATTTAATTAGCAAACATTTTAAGAGAGAAGTCCTTTCTAAAGAAAGACTGACACAAAACTCAAAAACCCTTAAGAGGGACTTCAAATGTCAGGCATGGAACATTTCATTTCATGTCAGAAGCCACAATTTTTTCACCTTCTAATATTTATAGATGGAAAAACGGCATCCCCCAAATCTGGTACTTTTTTTGAGGAGGGAGGAGAATGGTAGAAGTAAGAGTTTTCATACCTGTTATTTGGCAGATATCTCTAAGAACTTTAGTACTAATGAATTCAGGGATTGGAAAGGGAATATTGCCCCCTAAAAAACAACAAAAAAAACCCCAAAAGTTTTAGAAACCCTGCTTTTCTTCTTTCCTCTATTATCCATAATTTAAATAGATAGTATCTTTCAAAAGACCTTGTATCAGTTTCTAACTTCTTTAGATCTACAGATCATCATGTTAGATAAGGGGGAAAGGGACTTATCTATAGACATACTTAGCCGTGGAAAGGTAGTGACCTTATTCCAGTTTTGATTTCTTATTAGCCACTAACTACTTTCTAGTCTACAAAGATAGCGTAAAGACATGATGAAGTTGGAAATTCTTCTGAGAACGCTAACAAAAACTTGGAAAAAAGTGATTTAGATCTGAGTCAAAGAAAATCCTTAATACTTAATAAATGAGCCCAGTCTTAATTTCTGAATTTGTCCTATTTTCCCCTTTCAAGTAATAACTACTCGCTCATAATAAGAGTTGAAAGGTACAGTAAAAATATGTAAGTGTAAGAATATTATACTACGTGAACTACATTCTTAAATCAGGAATACAAAACTAAAGAGATCATGTAGTTACTGTGGAGAAAAAAACTCCCAGGCCTTTTAGTTTTCAGTTGTTGTTTTGTTTTTTTAAATCAGAATTAATTCTTTTTTATTTTTTAATTGAAGTGTAGTCAATTTACAAAAGCACACACCAAGAAATGCCGTAGCACACAGCAGGAACAAGGTTGTGTGGACGATGTGTGCTAGGCAGATTTCTTCATTTTTACAGAGAAGTACCTGTTCTACCATCTGCAAGTCATTTCCAAGTTGGGAAGAGCTAACTTGTAAGAATATGTGATAAATGAGTAAATGGAAACTTCAGCTCAGAGCTATCATTTCTTTTTGAAGCCTTATCTGTTTTTATAACAGGCTAGTCACACCTTTTGCTTTATTGATGCTCATTCTGTTTGTCCCTTGTTACTGTTTTGAGACTTAGAAATTTAGGCAGCTTAAGGGTGAGTGTATTAGTTTCCCAGGGCTGCCGTAACCAATTCCACAAATTTGGTGGCTTGAAACAATAGAAGTTTATTCTTTCATAGTTCTGGAGGCAAGAAGTCCTAAAATCAGTATATCAGAGGGGCTGCTGTCTCTTCTTGTAAGGACACGACTCTTACTGAATTCAGGAACCACCCTCTGTACTATGACCTCATCTTAACTAGTTACATTTGCAAAGACCTAATTTCCAAATAAGGTCACATTCTGAGAAGGACATGAATTTGAGGAGGACACTATTCAACCCAGTACAGTGAGAAAGCTAAGACATCCTAAAAGTGTCTTCTAAAAAGTTGGTATCCATGACCATTTATATTTTCCCTCTCTAAGGAGAATGGCCCCATGAATAGAAACTCTAGGATGCCCAGATCAGTCCTCACTAACTTAAAAAGAATAATCAATAATTTTATTTGATACTGACTTTGAGATCCTGTCCTTACAGGGTTTTTTTGTTTGTTTGTTTGTTTTTTGGTTTTGGGGGTTTTTGTTAAGGTGATGAAGATAACAGAACAGGACAGTTTTAGTTGAAATCAGCCAGGATTCAAATCTTGTTTCTGCTGCTCACTGCCTGTGTACTTAGCAAAGCCCATGAGACAGTCTGGGCTCAGATTTCTGGCTGTCCAATGGTCCCCTCACATCTTCCCTCAGTCTCATCCCTCACACATCGTATAAAGAGCAATTAATCTAGGAAACTGGATTCTACAGATTGAAAAAACTCGTGAGCTGGTGAGACCCAGCCAGAAAGGTATAAAGAATGCTTGTAGAAGGTAGAGTGCTTTTGAAGTGTTATGTTAAGCCTTAAAGAGACACTCCTAGTATAGGAGTTGTTTTCTATTTCAAAGCTAAAAACGCTCATTAGTTCCCGTAATTTTTAAAAATCTCTCTTGAAGAACTGTAAGTTTCTTTACTCGTAATTAAAATTTTGAGTAGACAGACTAATTAGGAAAATACTGTGAAGAAGAGAAGAAAAACCACAGACCGCCTTTCTCTATTCCCTGCTCCGTATCCTGTAAGAATGCAAAATAAAGGTATTAAGACAGTTCAGTGCCCACAAGTGTAACTGAGAGCATGGTCATGCTTTCTTTTAGACACTTTACTTTTGGATAAATTTAGTTTTTGAATGCCACAAAGCTCATCCTATTCTGCCCGTCAGATTCTGTATGCTGGTGTCTTTCAGCAAGTAGAGAATGTCAGGCTCCTGGAGTCAACGGCTCAGTTCCTGTGAGGCTCTAGAGGTTGGCTGGGAAAGGAGTGCCATCAGTTTATCAGGCTCCATTGCCGGGACTGATTCTCTTGTGTAAAGTTTGGCTCAGTAACACTCAGCTGGGACTCAGTTAAGTGAGAAAAAAGGGTAGATTTTTTTCTTCCATGTATGTATTCGTGGCCAGGATTTGGGCATTTGTGGCAGACTTTAGGTGGGATCATAAACTATTTTGCATTTTTCACAACACCACTGAAAACAATCAGACTTGCCTTTGGAATATAAACTTCAGCACATCATTATTGCAGCCCAGCAGACTATCTTGTTTTTAGTGAAGGCTTATTAAAAAAAAAATTAAACCTACTATGATACGAATTTAGAGTTTTCATACAGCAGAAACCCTGGAGACATAACTTCCCTTCATTTCAGTTGATGGTATTGACTGAAAACAAAAAAAAGACTTGAATTAGATTTTTACCTCTGTAAGAAAGGGAAGATTCTGTACTTCCTGTGAAGCACCTATAGGAAAAGGGTGGAAAGAGCATAGATCTGGACCGTACCTTAACGAGAGGCTGTTTGAGTCCAGCTGTGATTGTGCTTTAAGAAGAAAATCTATTTGTTGAAGCCAGTCGTGATGTTGCACATCCTACCCACTGTGAAGGCACTGGCTCAACGGAAATAACTGAGGCTATCTGCTTGGTCCTGCCATTTTCAACCATATGTGCTTTCTTTCCATTACAGCCCGAGGAAGAGCAGCTGGCCTGCGATACCACTGGATGCAGTTCCTCCACTGATGACACAGCTTCCTTGGATCGACATTCTTCTCATGGCAGTGATGTGTCCCTCCCCCAGATTTCAAATTTGAACAGGTCCAGAGACCAGCAGTGTCTGGATGGCTTCTACAGCCACGGGGTGGGAGCCGAGGGTCGGGAGAGTGAGAGTGAGCCTGCTGGCTCAGGTGAAATGGAAGAGGAGGAGATGGACAGCATCACTGAAGTGCCTGCCAACTGCTCTGTCCTGAGGAGCTCTATGCGCTCCCTGTCCCCTTTCCGGAGGCACAGCTGGGGTCCTGGGAAGAATGCAGCCAGTGATGCTGAAATGAACCACCGGAGGTGAGATGCCAGGGTGTTTATTTAGTCTCTCAGTGTCTGCTTGCTTTTGATTTAGTGATTTGATGTTATTGTTAGTAAAAGATTTTAGGAGAGACCATGGTGTGGAAGACAGAATATAGGCTTTGGAATCAGGGAAATATGTGTTCAAACTCCATGTGGATAACCTTGGGCAAGTTACTTGACCCCTCTGAGCTTTAATTTTCTTCTCTGCGAAACAGTTGCCTTTCAGATATTAGTAATAGTAAATATTACAAATGAAATGTATCAGTCACATAGTGGGTGTTTAGTAAATTGTAACACTTATTCAGGCCAGATTTGTTCATGAAATTCGCAGATTAGAAAAATTGGAGGGAATAGTTTCATGTCAATTTTGAATTAAGAAATAAACATGAAATCTTATAGACTCAACACATCTAAGTTTTTCACAGTGCCCCATAGAAATTGCCATCTGTTTCTAATGCATAAAGTTTTTGTAAAGTCTAAATTATCAGTATTTAATCCTCAAGAGATCATAATAATTATTAAATCATTTTCCACATATCATCCAGCCTTGAGGGTCTTTCACGAGTACGACCCAGTCTCATCCCTTCAGTTTGGAAGCCGGCTGTAAGAAGATAAGTTGGATTTGGCTTCTGACCATCGGCTGCCTAGATGAATTTAAGCAGATGGTTTTAAGTCTAAAGAACAGGTGCCAAATGCCTACTGTATGTACAAAGGTGTGCTTACTCCAAAGCTACTTTCTTAATGAGGAAAAACAGCTAAGGGAGGAGGCTGACAGTTGTTGCAAAACAATTGATATAAACAGCTCACCTAAGCAATTATTGGTTTGTTTGCTATTTTTTTTTTAAATTCCTTGCCCTCATAATGTTTTGGCTCAGATTTCAACTGTAAGAAGTACATGTTACCTAATTACATTCATCACTCATTTATTCTTTTATTCATCCAAGATATATTCAGTACCCACTACATGCCAGGCATTTCTAGGTTCTGGAGACACAGAGGTGAACAAAACAAAGTCCCTGCCTTTATGGAGCTGATGGTAATGCCTTACACTTTCCTGATTTGCTACCCTTTTCGGACTCCTTTAATAACACACAGTCTCATGTAATTTTCGAGTCCTCTTCATGAGTCAGGTGGTATCCCCATTTTTGAAGATGAGACTGGTGCGCGTAGTTTATACGACTTACCCAAGGTCAGTGGAATCCAAGTTTCCAGTCTCCTGGTCAAGCACTGTTTCTACAATTTCACGTTACTCTCTGATGGAGTTGAGGGTGCTAACCTTAAAACTTAGCACTTGCTTTATCTGATGGTAGTTTTTATACACGTTTGAAATTATATGAAAAGCAGTTTTCTAAAAGTTTTTCTTCCCAGCTTTATTCTGGCTGTAGGGCTTTTTTTTTTTTTTTTTTTTTTGAAGATCATCCATACCCCAAGGGAAAATAAGGATGGGGGAATGATCCCTACAGCCAGGATTCCCTTCCTGAAGCAAGAGAAGCATCTTCATTTGACAGACTTGTCTGAGATGATAACCGCATTGAGAAATGAGGATTTATTTCATATATAATGTATTTTTCTTTATAAACCACTGTGGATCCCTTTACTATGACTTTGACTTCGGAGCTAGATGTGACTTTATCGATCATGTAGTTCTGATGAGGAAATTAAAGCTCAGAGTAAAAGATTTGCCCAAGATTCCATGGTGATTTTAGGACTGTGCTAAAATTAGAACCCTTTCACCCAAATTATTTGTATTTTCAGCCTATGTGATGTCATGGAATCTCCTGTTTGATTTTATCAGTAAGGGGTGCCCAGCCCCACAGTCCCAAGTACCTCTGGAGATGATGGAATGAGAGTTAGGGATCACTTTAATTAGTTTAGCTAATTCTTACAGTATTATCTGCATATAGTGTAACCTGAATTTTAAAGTCTTACGAAGATGATTTCAAAGTTCTGAATGGCCTTTTTTTCCCAAATCCTTTTACAATTTCCTGGTCACCTGAATTTACTGCTTGGAGCAAGGAGAGAGGGAGCAAAGTAGCCCTTTTCAGAAGTTGTCAGGCCTCTCTGGTCCTGATATTTTCTTATTCCACATTCTTTCATTCCCTTACTTCCTATACTATTTCTTGTCTCTCTTCCCAGTGTGATGTCTGTATGTTTCATGCATTTGTACCCATTTTGTTTCATCTCAACACTGACCTCTTCCACCATTCATTTTCAGTTCAATGCGAGTTCTTGGGGATGTCAGGAGGCCTCCCATTCATAGGAGAAGGTACAGAGTTCACTAACTTGATGGACTAACCGTTTGCCTCTGAGCTTATACTAACGAGCGTCTCATTGTGCTTCATCCCTGATTAAACAGTCTGTTTGTGAATAATGTCATGTTTGCTTCAGGCAAATAAAGTATACTTATTAATTGCTAATGTCCATTCCGTAAGAAATGGTTTCTCAAATTTTCCTATTTTACTTTTTTTTTTTTTTTTAATTTTAAAAAATGTTTTTTTCCATCTTGCTCTTTTTGGTGTTCAGATCACTTTGATAATATGATCTCCCCAACTTTATCCAGGAGAATTCAAAGAAATGCCTGTTATACCTCTGTAATAGACCCTGGGGAGTACTTTTTCCTTCTTTCCAGAAAAATGGGGACGAACCAGAATATGGGTGTGTTCGTGCACAGGTCCTAGGATACTTTCAACACGTTCGGTAATAATGTGGTGAAAGCCTTTATTCCCAGGCCACCTGGCAGTTTCCATTCCATTGCTGATGTGGTCGTTCTTTGAGGCAAGTAAGAGGCATCGGCTGAGCTCTCAGGGGCCCTCTGGTTTTTCAGTTCCTTCATTATTTTTGTCACATAAAAATTTGAAGCTAAGAGTTATAGCGCTTTATAAGCTGAAAAGTCATTTCTAGCCAGAAAGTGCTGATTTGCTTTAAATTTTTCAGATGCTAAGTTTTGTTTTACATTTACTATTTAGAAGTCATTAGTGACTTTTTCTTCCATTATTTGGGAAAAAATTTAGAAATCTGAAACTAATGGTTAGATCACTGCTTCTTTTATTAGAAGACAGTTGTAAAGAGGTATTTTTAACTATTGGCTGAAGCTGTTCGTTGGGAAGTGGGCACACAGTGATCTTTCTTTCCTACTTCGTCTTCAAGTGGGTGTTTCCTTTAATTCCTGATTTTAGGCACCAGGTTGAGCTCAAGTACAAATGTTCTCATGAATCTTAGATAACTGTACTCAACCTGGTTAAGTTTTTCTTCATGGGAACAAGTAGTTAAATGCCTTTTCAGTAGAGGTATCTAAAACCTTTAGAGATACATTTGACTCTTCTTTAAACTCTTCAGTATGAACTTATTAAAAACATGCACTAGATGGCACTGGAAGATGACAGGATGCTGGATGCGGTCCAGGTGAGCATATAGATAACAACTATCCCAACAGCTCCAGTTACAGCTTCGCCTTTAGTCATATTTCTTTAGGAGACCGGGAGGTATAGTTTTAAATTTTGTATTAAGCCTTAGCTAGTAAAACTCCAAATATTAAAAGGTCAGGGAGTAGGATTTATTTATTTAGTTAGTTAGTTAGTTATAAGAATCTAGAACTAACTAAATCTCAAAATCCAAAGAACCATGAAGTGTTCCTCCCCACCATTTGAGGAATTCAGGAAATTACGGTGTGCTTTCAAAAATACACTGAATTGTGAAAGGGGTTTTTTGCTACAAGAAAGAGCAGTTTTTCTGTTACTGTAGGACCATCTGTAGCTTCTTTCCTAGGTTCTTAGAAAAACTTTTCTGTCTCCCTGTTACTCTTCATTGTCTTCATCCTAAATTTCATCCCAGTTTCTCATGTCATTATCATTTTTTGAGAATAAAGGGATGTTTAAATCTGTAGAAGGGCATTATTTTTAATGAATGGTAATTTGGCAATGTGTATTCAGTTACTAATTTTTTCCACATTTTGTTTTTAATAAATTGGATACACAGGCATAGTATGCCTTTTTATTAACAGTTTAGAGATACAAAATTAAGTGAGTAATTTCAAATAACGGACTTGTGTGTGTCTGTAACTATATCAAGGCTGGCTTCCCTCACGCAAGTAAATTATAAGTCAGTCTGATCTCACTTACCGGACTAGTAGAGATGTCTCAGCTATGTAGTTCCACTTTCTGCTTTTGCACTTGTGAGCTTTATACCATTGATTTGATCTGATTTAAAATGTTTACCATTTGAATTAATTTTTAGTGATATTTAAGGATTTAGAAGAACCATAGGGGTAGCTCATTTTTACTCTCCCACCTTTTTCCTTGTCTTTTTCCCTCTGTCAAAAACTCCCACTTGTCAACAAAACAGTTATTAGGTGTCTTTAAGATAAGGTGGGGTTGTTCTTTGGTGTCTGCAGCTCTTCCCACTTGAAGGTTCGGAGGGAGCTGATTGATTTTACTGTTATCCCCCTTCTGAAAACAAAAGCCTATCCCTTAGAACTTTAAGGCTAAAATAGCAGCAGTGTATTTTTTTTTAAAGAACAGCTTTTGTTAATCAAGAATCCTGACCTACGGATCGAATTTCTTTTACGGAGTACCTGATATTTTGAATTGATTATTTTTTTATTTGGTTTTATTAACATAGCCCTTCCAACCCCAGATTTTTCTGTTCTTGTTGCTTGAGAATAAATTTCAGTGCTGTGATAATCAAGGAAGTAGTGATCGAATGGATGTTTTTTAATCTTGTGGGAAAGCAGGTACAAACTTAAAATTAAGGGACAGGTTGCTAACTCAGTATTACACAATCCCTTTTCCTTTTAAGAGAAGAAATCCCTTCATTATTATTAAAATACAAAGAAATGTGACCACTGTTAACATGTTTTATCTTCAGCAGACAGGCCTAGTGAATAGGGTTTGAAGATGAGTGTAAGTGTTGATTGGGTATCATTATGAAAGATTTATGAATTGTCTGGCTTAGATGAATCCTTAATGGAAACAAATGAAAAAAACAGATGACTCAGTGAGCCTACCTCCGTGCAGTTTGTCATCATTCCTTTTAGTTAAAGATTAGAGATAACTGTGGTAAGGGAGACGTGGGAGTGGTGGGGTGTGCAGTGAGCTTGACCCCGGTAGCGGAGGTTGAAACGCCTTTGGGAACATGCCCAGAGAGGAAGCCAGAGCCCCAGCAGGGTGGTTCTCCATTCAGGGTTTGCTAGAAGGAATTCTTGGGTCTCAGATTGGACTTGTTATCCTGTAAAGACTTCACATAGTCATTTCCAACGCGTTATCTAGATGGACATCAGTAGAAAAATGTTCAGTTTCCATGGTTTTTGTTCCAGCCATTTTCTAAATTCTCAGTCAATGTTACATTCCTAATTTTTTGATAATCAAATACATCCATCTGTCTCTAACTGTGTCCTTTCTTTTTAAACTCAGTAACCCCATCCCTGTTTCTTCTTTTCTTCTTCCATTTCTATTTCTGCCTTTGATGTCATCCCCAGTATGAGCTGGTGTCCCTCTGGTGTGCAATACTCTGCTGCCCTGAGTGCTGACTTTAATTACAGAAGGTATGGTATTATGTGTCCAGCCACCAAAGTGGGAATCAGAAAATATGGCATTTGAGCTTTTGGCTTGGAGCTGGCTTCTTTCTGTGTGGCTGGAATGCATATGGTGGCCTGCTTTGTCTGTGAGCACAGTATTCTATGGGCACCACTAATCCAACTGAAGGGGTACAGCCAAGGAGTTGGATGGTGTACCCCAATGCATCCTGTTTGTCTCAAGTGGCTGTAGATTTGGTGTTTTCCACACGGACTTGACCCTCTGGTATTGTAGACAACTTTTCTCTTTGTTTTGATCGGTCCTAATTCCCAGATCCTAGGAATTCCCACATCCTGAGGAGAACAATACCAGAAACAAGACAGCTAATAAGATGTACTTATTTCTGTTAATGCTTCCAAATCCAACAGTCTCTTTAGATTCCAAGCTCACAGATTCCTTATCATTTTTAGTCTTCTCTCAGCTAAGCAGCCAGATTGATTACTAAAACATTTTCAGGATTAAATGTTTTGTAAGCATAGATCTGGCTTCTTGGGCTTTACAAATAATTCATAATAGAAAACTAAATTTCTTCTTCACTTAGCCCGTCTTCTTATCCCTGGTATTGAAAATGAGTTTTACAGAGACATTTGCTTGTAGTTAGTCATGATTTCTATTGTCATATTGAAATAAGAAAAATAAAATCCATTGTTTCACTTATTCACTAGAGAAAAATAGAGGCATATGGTTTCAGTTCATAATAAGTAATTCATGGGAAAAAAGCAAATGCAAGCCCTTCTGGACTGCCATACGTGAAGTTTTGGTAGCAATTAACTCTGAGAAGAGATAACTAAATAGCTTAAATATACCTTCAAATACAATTCCAGATGCTGTAGCTGAGGACATGGTCAGCCACAGCTATATTTTGAGATCCAGTTGTAAGAGATGTGAATTTTTTTGGCTAGCAACTCCAAGGATGATGGATGGCTGACTTCTCTCGGTAGCCTCCTGCTTACCAAAAAAAAAAAAAAAAAAAAACTTTTCACTCTACAGACCACATAGTCTTTATTCCAGGGATCCAATTTTAGATACCAAACCCTAAGTCTGCTTTTCTCCCCTTTGTCAATATCAAGACAAAAAAAAAAATTAAACCTCTTTTAGACTTACTAGCTTTTCAGCTTTTGCCCTTTAAGATGTCACATGTGCCTGTCTGCAACTAACAATTCTCAGGAAGCTGTCAAAGCAGTTGTTGTCCGGGCAGGTGTGCACAGATGGTAATGCTCATATGTAACATGGGTTTTCTGGGGTGGATGCGTACCTGTGAAGTTATAAAGATCACTGAGACTGTAGTTGAATGTAAAGTTATAAAGGTCCGCTTGATGATTACAAGGGCAAGTCTTAGTCTCTGTTTGCCTACTGAGAGTTACTTACGGTCGTGTTCTCTCTGTGCCATGTAATTCTTTGGCATTGGCAGAGTTCAATTCTGGCAAAGATTAATTACATCAAATTCAGGGGAAAAAAACACAGATAAATAAAAGATCATTAAGATAATGTGGTCTGTCCATATGGTATATTGAAGAAAATCTAAGAAAATGACCTTAAATGGTCCAACATTTGAGTAAGTTGAATGAGGTTAAAAAAAAAAATCTTTAAGTGTGGTATGTTTCTCAGCATACCAAGATCTGTGGGGGGAAGGGTAGGTGGTACACATTTGACCATGCCCTTGTAGACAGTTTTGCTAGGTGACGTAGAAGTACGAGCAGGGGAGATACAACGGAAGGGATTTTGTATCCTCTGTCCTTTCTGAGACTCAGAAATAAAATGAATTAACTCTTGTGTTCTGTGTTCAGTTTCAGCCTAGAAGGCTTGACAGGAGGAGCTGGTGTTGGAAACAAGCCATCTTCATCTCTAGAAGTAAACTCTTCAAACACCAAAGAGCTCAGGCACCCTTTTAGTGGTGAGGAAAGGGGTGACTCTTTGATGTCACTTTCAGAAGAAGATCTGGAATCAAGCCAGAGAGAACGTAGACTGTTTGATCAGCAGGTAAGACTGAAATGGGTAATATGTTGCGAATTTGGGAAAAAAATTGATTTTATTTCCCTGAATATGTCCTCATAATAGGAACAAAGAAGCAGGACCTATGTTAATATAAGGATAGTAGCTGTGATTACTTACCCATTATGTAATATACTCAGAGTAGCACAAAGTAGGTTTTTAGCACTTAATAATAATTAAGGAGTGCCATTGATCTGCATAGATGTAAGTATTCCAGCTTCTTTAAATTAGGAAAGTATCCAGGATATTAAATTGAGTTTTTTTCTTCTTATCTGAGGACTTTTACCACCCCAATAGTAACATGAATCTTAAAGCATGTCACACACCATTATTAAATTTCCCGATTCTTAAAAACATATCTCAAGTTTCTCCTTCCTAGAAAAAGAAACTTCTTTTTATTTGTCTCATCGCACTGTGTGGGAAACAACTGTGTATTCTCTCTGCTTCCTTCCTGTCACTGCCGGAATTCTTGAGACAGCATCTGCACTCCCTGCCCTCCCTCCCTCCCCTCCTCTTGTGCACCACTCTCACGCTCTTGAGACTCCTGCCTCAGAGGTTGTGGGCTTCCTTGTCACCCAGACCAGATGACTCTTTCTTAATTGTCATCTTCTCGGGCCTTTCATGATCACTTAACCACTTTTGACAATCCCTCAGGGAATTTTTGAGTTGCGAATTTGAATTACATGCTTTTCTGGCTTTCTTCCCTACTCCCAGTCCTTTTTCCTCTTCTTGGGCCAAGGAGACCTTGTATTAATTTCTGAGAGGATTCCGGGATACACGTCCAAATGAAACATTTTCAGTCAAACAAATAAAAGGTTAAACACCTATCTTTGAATAGGTGACTGGCGTTTTAGGTAGAAATAAAATGAAACATTTCAAACTAAACAAACAAAAATTTTAAACAACCTGTTCTTGGATTGGTGACTGAGGTTTTGTGTAGAAATGTAAGTTTTTATTACATCCTGCTGCATAGCAACAATATGACCAAATATAAATTTGGCACTGGAGGATTACCTTAGTGATGAATGTGTCACTTATGCTCATGTGAAGCTTATGAGAATTTAGGCCTAATGAAAATCAAACTGAAGGCCTAAGGAATGTTACCGCCTTTGCCCCCAACCCATGGATTCTTGGCCTGATACTTTAGAAACAGTTGGAAGAAATAACAAGAATATGTGGAAGATATTTATTGAAGTAAATGCTTTAGATTTATTCAGCCTAATGGTGTAACAGAAAAAGGGAGGGAGAAAAAAACCCCAGAAAACAATTCTTTGGTGACAACTGAGAGCATCTCTGATAAATGGAAAATCTGAAAAGTATGTTGCATCTTATTGTATAGAATCCTTTGGAAATCATTTGTAGGACCAGGTACCAAAAGTGTGTGTTTGTGAACAGAATCATAGACTTAGAACCAATATATCCCTTTGGATTCCACTTAAGTCTTGTGTGTGAGAACTTCAAGCCCATTTAAGTGACTTGCCCAAGGCCTCATGACTGGCTATTAGCTGAATAGGGTTAAACTCAGAATTCCGGGCTGTTCGTCTCACTGCTGCTTCCATGTCTTTGAAGCAGATGAGTTCTAATGAGGAAATGAGGACATTTTTATTTTCTTAATACTGTTTATGGGATAACCTTTTCCTGAGCTGGCATTCCTGGGACTCTAACAAACGGCCCCATCTTTTAGTAAGTGGTCTCTTTCTAAGTGGCCTTTCTGTTGAGTCTGTCTAGGTAACGTTATCGACACTGGAGTTGCCTCGTGTGTTTACCTGCCTGGGGCTCTGCTCACCCATGGTTTTCTGTCTCACGTGCAACCTCTGAATGGCTGCTTGAGCTGCTTGTGTCTGATCTGCACCAGTCGCCTGTAGCCAACTTCCTGTTGAAAGGCGGGGGCCTTTCACTGAGATAATTTTTCAGACCTCACAGTTGTATTCGAAACACAGCAACTGTTTGCCTCGGACTCCATGGTTACTCATGGAACAAGCCCTAAATAATCAGAAGTCCTTGGCGCACTTAAGTCGCATTCATGCTACATGTGCAGATTTCAGCCTACTATGAAGGGAGGGGGTTTACGATAACTAAAGTTAGTTAACAGGATGGCCTCTCTCAAAACAAAAGGAGAGGGAGTCCTTCGTCACCGGAAGTGTGCTAGTAAACACTGGTTTACTGTTAGGAGTTGTGTTGCAGGAAGTTCTGCAGTCAGTTGGAGTACATGGCCTTGAAGTGGCTGAATTTACTGAGGGAGTCAGATTGTCAAATTTCAGTCACCCTCATATACAAGTAGAAACAATCTAATCTTGAGGAAATGAAAGCAATTTAGGCTTCTGTCCAGATGCATGGCTACTTTGCTTGTGATCTTAAAACACTTTCTATTTGCATCTCTGTTTCCAACTCTTTTAAAATCAGAATGATATTACTGGAATCCTACTTACATGTTTGTGAACGATATTTAGATTCTCAAAGAGCAAGGACTATATATCGTTTGATACTTCCAGTGGAATTATTTTTGTCTGATTATTCTTAGAATATGTTTAATAAGCACTTACGAAGTTTGAAACATTATTAGGTATTGTGAGGGATAAAAAAGTACTGTGTAAAGGGTAGATACTCTCATTATCCCCATTTTACAGTTGAGAAACTTAAGGCTCAAAGAAGCCAGATAACTTCTCTGAAGTTGAGCAGCTGTTTTGTGGCAGGGGAGACTGGGCTACAAAGCCTCTGCCTTACCTCTCTCGTGTGCTACCTTATTTCCTTAGGTTGAGTCAGGATGTAAAGTTTTGTGCTTATCTAGAAATGCAGAGTGTGTACTCAGAACCTGTTTACTTTTTTCCCTCACAGACATGCCACAGATCTAAACAACAGAGGTTTAATTACTGTACATCAGCCATTTCTTCTCCACTGACAAAATCCATCTCATTAATGACCATCAGCCATCCTGGGTTGGACAGTGAGTATACTATACTTTATTAAACTAAATATATTTTAAATAGTTTTCCCATCTTTTTTTGTTTGTTTTCACTTTAAGACCGTCTGACGTTACCTTGCAGAATTTGCCTTCCTCTTCCTCTGAATGCAGGGCTGATGAGTTACAGAAAGATGACAGAGTTCAGCTTGGGGATCTTCCTCCTTTTTCTACATAAAAATCTCCTTAATACATTAAATTCATTGTATTCTTGAGCCTAAACCAGACACACAGGTTTTAAAACTTTTTATTTTGAAATAATTTCAGACTTCAAAAATAGTTGCAAAAACAATACAAATAGTTACTATATATTCTTCACCTGGGGCCCCCAGATGTTATCTTAACTCTTGTCTTATCCATCTCTCTTGATCACTTTCCTTAAAGATTTTTCTGAAACACTTGAGAGTAAGCGACACACTTAATGCTCTTAATGTCTGGATGATATTTCTTATATTACCTCAGTACATTTATCCAAATTTTATCCAGCACTAGTTTCCTGGGCTCTTCAGAAGTATCAAGCTCATGAAGAACAAAGAAAGAATGAGATACATTTTCAGTTGCTTAAGCAAATGCCAAGAAGGTTACATCCTAAAATGATTAATGGAAATGTATGCAGATTCAGGATCCACAGGCTATGAAAGTTACCTAGAGACGTCTGGCGTCCATAAGCACAGGGCATTTGCTAATTAAAGATGCTCAAAAACATATTTGAAGTGGGGATGGTATAGCTCAAGCAGTAGAGCACATGCTTAGCATACATGAGGTCCTGGGTTCAATCCCTAGTACCTTCTCTAAAAATGAACCAGATTACATCCTCCCCCCAAAATAAAATAAATAAATTAAAAATAAAAATAAAAATAAAAAAATATATGTATAAAACATATTTGAATTGGATCCAGATGTTTGCCACAGAAAGTTTTCTTTGGGAAATGCCACTTTTTTAAATTTTGAAAAGTTTTTTTTTTTTCCCATGAGTAGTTGTAGTATGGGGTCTTGATATAAAGATTTAAATTCTCATCAAAGAGGGTATGATACATTACATTCTTTGCTGAAAGACCGTGTATTCAGGAGGCTGAAGCAAAGGGAAGAAACTCTCCTGGTGTTTCTGGTGTTCTTCAGTGTCCCCTGATACATGTCTCATTTTTAAAGAGTTGGGAACAGAAGTAGCTGTCCTGCATTGATGGGATATTTTGTCTCAATTCGTGGCTTATGAGAGGCCTAATCTTTTTAATTTCCACAGTGGAGTTAAGGCATAATGGGTAATTCTATTAACTTTGTCCTCGTTTTCATATGATTAGTGCTTCACATGCAAATCTGGCTTGTTTAACTAAAGGTGCCTAATAATGACTTAATCTCAAAGATAACAAGTATAACCGCACAGAATCCTAACTGAAATAGCTGTTCCTGGTTTTATTTGGGTTTTGGTGTGCTTTGGTGTAGATTTGGCTTTGGGTTAGTAGTTTTGCTGCTATAGAATGAAAATTACTGTAACGAAGTAGCTCATAGCGGCTTTGATGAACCTGGAGGACCAGAGTCAGGCAGGAAAAGGGAAGCACCCTCCCATGTGGCGTTCGGCTCTGCAGACCCTCCTCTGTGGCCAGGATACCCAGGACCACCAGACTGGCCCGGAGGGAGACCTTTTTCCTGTATTCTGTGATACACTGTCTTGCCCAGTACATGAAGCACTTCATGATTTTTCCTCCATAAAGCAAGACGGTTTTTGACCGTGCTTTCAGTTGCCAGCCAGACACTGTAAACACTGCAGCTAACCCCCGGAAAACTCCCTCCTCCGGCGCCAGGCGCTCTGGCAGGCCCAGCCCTTCGTGTTGCTGGGAAACCCGTGGCTCAGCTCGCGGGAATCAGTCGCAGACTGCTGTCAGGAGCAAAGCTTTAAGCAAGCGTTTAATCCTTTCATCCAAATAGAGTGCTCTCATTCTAGTTTATAATGTACACTTCATGCAAGTGTGAAAGTTTAAGTCATATACTCATTACCTAGCCCCACTAACTTCCCTAAGTTAGCTCATACTATAATTGGAGGACTCATCAACTTGAATGATAGTGTTTCTCCTTAGTCCCTCCCCATAGACAGTTAAATTAATTTTCCCAACTGTACTTTTTTATTCTGTTCTAGAAACATAAATTTTTCTTTGCAGTTGTAAAAAATCCTGGCTGTTGAACACAGGACTAAAATTGCTGTGTGCTATGCCTTTAAGCCTCAGGATAACTGGATGGTTCTCAATTTGCCACAGAAGCAACTCTTCAGTTCCAAATCGCTTATGTATTCCGCATGATTCATTTTTGGTCGTGATCTTCCTTGCTGAAAGTATCATAATTAAAATCTACCCAGTGGCTTGAAAGCCTAAAGTGTGTGGTACACCTCTTAAGAACACTTAGTGGCTGTGTGACCTTAGGTCCTTGAACTATTAAACAGGGCTGATAATGTGATAAGACTTAAATGTGAATTTATTTTAAATTCACATTAGCATATTTCTGGCTTATAGTAAGCATTTGTTATAGTATGGAGTGAGTTCACAGTGTCCAGACAATGCTAGGGTCCGTTTTTCTCTGACCAGAATTTAGCAATGTTTGAAAAAAAACCAAAAAACCCTAGAACATTGTCCTTCATTGTCTTTAAGTGGCTATGTCTCATGAGCATCCTTGTCTAGGAATGAAACACTTTCTAAAATGAGCCTTATCTCACTACTTGTCAGCTCTTGTGTTCTGTCTTCTTCCTTTAAAGAAATTAGCTGCTTCCACCGCAGTCTTTCATGGCTGTTAACATTTGAGCACTTCTCAAAATGTATGTCCCCTGAGCTGTTGTCTGGACTGTCTCATTGTTGGATCATTGTCTACATTAGAAAAAGACAAACTCAGCATTATTCCTAAACTGAAATCTGTTTCAAAAATCCATTGATGTAGAGGAAAATACTGAGTAAAGGTGGTGACTGAAATATTTCTGTGTCATTTTCTGGGACAGGAAGTAGAAAGGTAGCAGTTTAGAACTTAAGAATAAATTTCATTTTTGCGTGTACAGAATAATTCTGTTATTACATACACTCCCTTAATAAGACTTTATTTTTAAACTTTTCATTGCTTGCACCCAGAAGATGCTTACAAACAGTAGAGAAAACTGATTATTATTATCAGTAGTATCCTTGGTAAGCAGTACTCAGTGACAGTAATGTTAAAAGGAGAATGATACCCATTAGATGTTGTAACCTCAGGGGCTTCTTAATGAGGTTTCATTTTGCCCTTCACTTTGCATGGTTTGTTATCACAAAGAACGATGCTCACAAGTGGCACCTGTCCTGCTTTACTTGTGGTGTATGAATTTGCATGCTTTGGTGGGAGCACTAGATTATAATTGTATAGCTTGCATTGGACTATGAAAGCTAAGTGGGTCTTAAGAACTGAACTGTGGCATTTACATATGTAAAGTGCATCAGATCTACAAAGCTAAATGATTCATGTGACCAGAAATGGTGGGGGGGGAACCTCTGGAAAGGGGCATCGATGCTACTGAGGATCTTTTATCACTGCTTTCTGTGCTTAGTTTCTCTGCTGTGGACAGTAAGATGAGACTTTATTGGAATGCATTCATTTTCTTAGAGTAGTTCTATTTGGAAAAGATAACATTTGTCAGAACAAAAATTCAGTCAGGCAGATAGACTTTTTATATTGATCTTTTGACTAAATTGCAAGGCTGGAATATATGCATATTCATTTTGAGTACATGATAAAATTGAATCTCTGTGTTAACACAACACATTCTTTCCATATATGTTGAAGATCCTCCTTATTCATACAGGTAGGTTTTTCTTTATGATCCATGATTGTGTGACAGAGAAGGGGATATTCTTAGAACTTGTGTGACAAGAGAGCTTATTCTCATTTCCTGAATTTGCTTCACATTTGGAAATACTTTAGAACACACATTAAAATGATATCTTTTGTACTCGACTGTTACTGCCTAAAAAGCCCAATGTACATGAGTTTGTGCCGGTCGTTCTTTGATCTCTGTCATGTGCAGTGGATGCACACAGTGGTCTGACGTCACGTAGCATTTATCTGGGGTGTGGTAGGTACAGGGCTTTTTCTTTCATTTTACTTAGGCTGTTGAGCTTCCAGAAAGCCTGACAGAAGGAAGTTCATTTATTAATGTTTATTTATTCATAGCTACTCTCTGCTGGGCACCAGGCTAGACAGTAGCAGGAGGAGGATGAACTCACAGATACAGTTCGTTTTCTCACCACACTTGAGCTGACAAATGTGAGAACAATTGAGTGCAATAGAAGATGATAAATGCAGCCACTGAGAAACATCAGTGCCCAGGACTTGAGCGATCAGAGAAAGCTTACTGAGAAGTGATGTCAAAGTTGAGACCAAAAGGAAACCAGAAATTCGCTAGGTGAATCAGTATGTAGAAAGCTAGACTGAGGAATTTGGGCTTCTTGTCTAAGGGCAATGGAGTGATTTAAGTTGACTAAATCAATTGATTAATTGATTCAGACACTTCAGAGAGACCACCTGAGAGAAAGTGTTGGAGAGGAGAGAGGCTGATAGAGGAGAAGAAGGCTATTGCAGGATTCAGATGAGAGCAGGTGGTGGTCTGAGCCAGGCCACAGAGCAGTGGCAGTAGGAGAGAAATTGGTGTTCAGGGAATTCTAGAAGACAGAACCAAAAGGAATGAGTGAGTTATAATACCAGGATTCAAGGGTGTACCCAGGTTTCTATTTCAGATAATTAGTTAGATGTTAGGTACCACTCACCAAAGGAATGAAGGAGGAGGAACAGGTCGCAAAGAAGGGATAAGCTGACTCATGTACTTGTTGAGTTTGAGCTGCTGTGGGATGTCCACCTATAAGTGAGCAGTGAGATGAATGAGGTTTGAACTCAAAGGAAGGAGCTGATTTAAGAATAGAAAGTCATGAGTCACCAGTATATCACAGGCAGATTGTACTTTAAGAGGCAACAGCAAATGAGGAGGTTTGGGGTGAGCGAACAGAGAGTAAAATGCAGACTCCAGGGGAACCCCACTTACTCCAAGTGTTTCCTTCAAGGAAACAAAAACCTCTCGCTGTAAATGATGACTATGAAAAATAAAATCCTTACTTTCATTACCTAGTAAGTACATGTTTGTTGGATGAATTTTCTTCAGCTGTATTAGCATTCTGCATACTTAGAAATAAAGATGAAAATGTTGAGTGCATTACATTGTTCATCTAGATGGCCTTTCCCAGAATCGTTCAGGCCAGGGACATGATTCCATTCACTGTGGGTCTGTGGTGCCTCCCACTCTGTTCTGGCATACTTGGTGCCCCCTCTGATACCTTCTGTTAACCCACTCCTCAGACCGGCGGCGGATGAAGCCAGCAAGGCAGATCTCCTTCTCCGTCAGCACCTCTCCACTCCTCCTTAAGTCTAAAACTCTCTTTTCTGTTGGCTCTTCTTATTCCAGTGATGAGGAGGAGGAGTTGTATAGTAAGTAAGCCACTTTGGGGTCCAATGGCTGTTTTCCAGGGTGTGACCAGTGCTGAAAATGCTTTGGGCTTGGTACTAAGAAATTGTTTGGGGAATTCTGTCCCCTTGCATGCCATCATTTCTAAATCATTTGTCCTCATGCTTTGCTTTGAAAATTAATTTGGATAAAACAGTTTTTGTCTTTAGTACACTACCTATGTTCACTGACCCAGTGGCCTGATACTAGGGCCCAAGACATCGTCCCAGAACACATAAGGCATAACGGGTTCCCATCCCACCTTGTACATCTTGTAATGCTGAGTACTGCCTTGACAAAACTTTCCATTTAATCGCGTAAGTTTCATTTTCATTGTTTTGCTTTTTTGTCTCATGGGACAGATATTTAGCTGTCTACCTGTGATATTCAGAAGCTAATGTTAAACTTTTTTCTTCTCACTTTTTAGACCATTTCTTTAAAAATACCTTTTCTTTGAGATTAGGCCACATTAATTATTGCGTGGAAGTCAGATACTTATTTCCCTTCTGGTTTCTTTCCTTCGGAACTTTAATTTTTCAATCCGTTCACTACACTAAAGGCTTCAGATTACTATGTCCTTACTTGATAAACCCTAGTTTAAAAACTATACAAAGTATCAGTTTTAGTAAAGTTGGAAATGAATCCCCCTCTACCATGAAAATCACTGTTTTCAACTGTACAATATTTCTAGACTATTCCAGGATTGCTATTTTTAATGAAAAAACTACTTCTAATATAAAGTCTCATAATGAATTATTGTCATTTCATACAACTAATGTGAGTCTTAGGCGATTACAGTATCCATATCATTAAGCATCCTAATTCCCTGCCACTTGCTGATCCTAAGCGTTAGCAATATTTACGTATTTAATATTTAAGCAATATTAAGCTGAGTCACATTTTTGCATTGTTCTTAAAAGGAAAATGGCTTATATACAAATGGAAGTCTTATGTGTTCAATACTTTTTTCAAAGTTAAGAGGTGTTTGGTAAACAGGCACATAAGATACTCACTGGGAAGCTGTGAAAATCCCCCACAACTTTGAGTGTCCAGAAATCCTCAAGGCTGTTTAATCTCAAAGTGGTTGTCATGTGCTGGGAAGTAGGTGAGCGTGGCAGGGGGAACAAAGGTTCCCGTAGTAGTTCTGCCACTAATATAAAATTGTGATGGCACTGGCTTCCCACTTAATCCAACATGATGGAATCAAAAAGTATAGAAGCTTGAAGAAACCTTTGAATTAAACATCCAGCATTCCTCAAAATGTGTTCCTTAAACTCAAAAATACCAGTGAGAATTAAGAGGCAGGGAGAGTTTAAAAAAAGAAATGATTGACTTGGCCATATAAATTTAGGAGACTCTGGTTTAAGCAGGTTTCAAAGGCTAATGGGTACATTGTGAATTTCCAAGGCAGCGTTCAATATGCTGTGTTTCCCAAACTTATTAACTAGATGACCACAGTAGGTGCTGACTATGTATAACTGCTCATGAAGCTAGTTTCCATGGAACACTCTTGACAAAGTAATGACTGTGTCTATCCAGTCGTTCCAATCCTAGAATGTTACTGTATTAGATCTGCAGGTTATTTTATGCCTTTTAGAAAAAGTCTAGCTGAAACAAGCTATTTACCTGCAATAGTATTTCACAGGCTAACTTCAGTGACAGATTTCTTTGCTTTTGCTTGTAATTGTATCACAGAGGGAACCTTGGTTATATCATATTCTTGGGATGCTTTGAAAACTTGATGACACTTTAGGAATCTCAGAGGCATTGATTTTAGAAACATTTGTAGATTAGTCACTGTTTTCAGAACCACACCTGAGAGGTCACAGTAAATGAATTAAAATTTGTTTCAGCAGCAAAAAAGTTAGAGGTCATAGATGCTCCCAGTAGTCAAGTCACATATTTGTTAAGTTTTTAATTTGTTTGACAGAAATCTGCTAGGAGCTTATTCTTGGCCAGGCTCTGTGCTGACTGGTGTTTTTCTTTACGGGTTTTATTTTTACTTTGTTTACATTACTAGGGTGGTAACTTACTGGGTAATTGATTAAGTGTACAGCAGAATCCTGGCAGCCTGAGAGAATTTAATGCTGCTTATATTATTCAAGGCTCCTTGGGTGGAAAAAGTTTTAAAGCCACTGTTCCACACACACTACTGATTTTTGTTTAAGTAAATGAAGGCATTCTGAAGTTAAAATGCTGGTGGTTTCACACCTACATCATGCAGAACTGGAAGACAGATCCCAGAACTTATTCCTACTGTTCACCTTTCTCCTCTGCCTGTTATTACCATGCGTTACAAGTGAAATGGAAGAACCCCAAATAGGTAAAAGGGAAAAAGTACAGAAAGCAACCTTTTGAAGACTTAGAATTCATTTTTAAGTTTCATATGCATCATTTCCACCTGCTGACTTTCTGTTAACCATAACTACAACTCTGCATTTCTATTCATAATCTAGAATAGTTTGGGAGTTTAAAAGTTTCAAGTTCTGGTAATCTGGTAGCAGAACATTTTCAAATTTCTACCAAATTAAAAGTTTTACTCACAGTGATCTTGGGGATTCTTGAAACCAAGAACAGGGAGAAAGGGTGTGTTTTGTCCACATCATAACAATAGTTATACAGAGCAACCTTTTGTCTGCCTGGACTCATACACAGTTTTCTGTACCTGATCTCCTAAAACTTGGAAACCATTTATCATTGTGTGATTGCGGCCTTTCTCTCATCTAAGTCCTAAAGTAGTTCAGACTTGATTAACATGTTGTAGATTAAGTGTTGGTATTGTTCCTTTTTGTTTGTTCTGCTTATTGCCCTATCTGTCTTAGCCTTCGATCTAATGACCCCCTCGGTTTACTGTCTGATAGTTATGGAAGGAGGAAAAATGTATCAGCCCTACTCCTTTGATCAGGATCAACCTGGAAAGGACCTTAGCATCTGTTTTACCTTCCTTGTTTCATAGATGAGGAAATGAAATCAGAGATCTCACCCCAAGTTAGCAACAAGGCCTAGACCTTACAAGCCAGCTCCGATGCTCTTTGCTGTTCACCGATCCATTTCCAGAAATGTTCAGGAAAGTATCAGACACACATTAGCTAGATTTTTAGTGTGGAAATATATGAAAGCAAAATTAACAGCACACAGAATATGACATTTAATTTCCTATTGTGTATTCTTTCTCTGACATCATCTCAGAAAGATGGCCTGTGGGCTCTGAACATTGATAGATGTGTATTCAAGTATTTTTTAAGTTGATCTGGGGTTTATTCGGTTACTTGAATCCTGGATTAAAAATTTTTTTTCCTGTGAGAAATTCACTGCCTGTTGCTGCCAATTTCTGGTTCTAATTTCACTGTGTTCTTTTTCAATTTTTCCTTCTTCCAAACCCTCAGGAGAAGAAGGCACCCGGCACTGGCTTTCAAAGGCTATTTTTGCTTTATCTGTGTTGTCATAAAAATGTTAAACATTTTATCTGTTATCTGGGTGAAATCCTTTTGTTCTAACTTTTTTTTTTTTCCTTTTCTTGTTTTCTAGATTCACGACCCTTCCACAACACGAGTGCTAATCTGACTGGAAGGTACTCTACTTATATTTGGTTACTCATTTTCCCAAGATGAAATGAAGGAAGTTCTAAATGTCTTATGGTGTTTATGCAAACTAAGTAATTGAGCTCATTGGATTCTTATTTCCTTGACTGATAAATTTGAAATAATGGTTAAGCGTGGTTTTGCATTGAAGGCAATACCCTTTTAACTTAATGTCTTCAGTAATTTTCCACCTTTATTCTTTACACGAGCCTAATGATGAAGATATACTGTTTGCATTCATTCCCATAAATTATATGAATATTTGACTTTATGAACTTTGCTCTCTTTGCTCATGGGAATTTTTAACTCCTAAGTCTAAGAGCATTTTGTTTCATAAATATGTGTGTGTGTGTGTGTGTGTGTGTGTGTATTCGTGCAGCGTTGCTATTTTCTTAGCCATTTTAAGCTTTAAAACTATTTTCTTGTGTGTGCATTGACATGGCACACACCTCTGTCCAAGCAAGTAAATCGTTTTTTTTCTTGATAGCAGGCCAGCGATTGCTGTTTTGACTTGTTTATGTTCATATTCCTCTTTTCATGCTTATGAGATTAAATGTTCTAATTTAAGTATAATTTGGGTTCTGGTCGTTGCCCTACAATGTTTTTTAAGTTGCCTTCCTTTTCACAAAGGTGTAGGGGAGGGTAGTAGTTCAGTGGTGGAGTGCATGCTTGGCATGCACCAGGTCCTGGGTTCAATCTGTAGTACCTGCATGAAAAAGAAAAAAAAAGAACTATGAAACTCCTTTCACAGAGGCATCAGTTGTGGCTCAGTGATCCAGAACTCTCAGTATGAATGCTCTTCTTTGCATTTCTGTGGTATTTTACTTACTCTTTGTTCTTTCTAGAGCAGTGATTTTCATATCATTTGCCCTTTATCTTAGTAACAGATGGCTTTGTATTGTAAACAATGTTTTATATATAAATAGACTTTACTAGCTACTAAAGAGGACCCTTGTGGTTCTGCTTGTCTGCCCTCTTATAGAGGCCCTTGAGGTAAACACTACTTTGCTATAGAAAAGTTCTAACGTAACTGTTCTAGAACACCTAAGAAGTCTAGAACACCTAAGAAATAGATTTCTAGATAATAGATTATGTACACAATTATACATAATTGTGTATATGGTAGATTATGCGTATAATTGTATATGTGTATAAGTGATTGATTGTATATGCAAAGGCCCAGCATTCTTTGAAGAAGTCAACAATTGTGAATTTCCTAGAGTCCAAACATGCCCATGATGCATGGACTTAGAATACAGGTTTCCTGCACAGGTAAATTGGTACACATGGATCTGTGTGAAACTCCTAAAATGGATCTCTCCACACTCAGCGTCATTTCTGCCTGCTGTTCAGTATATCCCCTCCTGAACTGTGTGTAGCTGCATTCACGTATTGATTGTCCAGTGCATTCAAGACTGAAAAAGAGGGGTGATCTCTGCTGTGAGGGAACTTGGTTATGCATTCAGTCATAGAAATTCCTTGGTTTGCATCACACACGTGGGCTTCTTTTCAAGCACCTATTTGATGCAAAGAAGTTTGTAAATTGGGTGCTATTTTAGATTAAGAAATTTCAGATAATATAATTATAATTGATAATTAGGCTCTGTTTAATATTTAACAATCAGATCACTGAAAACTCATTAATAAAACACTAATAACTGATATAAGAAGACTTAGCCAAGTCTTGGCAACAGAACATGGGCATTGTGCTCCATTCTTGGATATTATTGTATAAAACCACTCAGCAGCCTCTGTCCACCACTTATTTCATTTCCTATTTGCATATGAATATATAAATTGTCTGTAACTTGTAGCTAAAATAATGCATGACTGTGATGGTTACAAAGCATTGTATGTAGGGTATTTTAATTTTTAAAAATTAACTTCTGTAACCCCTTTTAAAATTCTTTTCTTTTCTATTTAGTATTACAGAAGAGAACTTTAATTTCCCGCCACAAAGCCCTTCCAAGAAAGATTTTGAACTGAAGAGTGGAACGAAAGTCAGTCGTACATTCAGCTACATCAAGAACAAGATGTCCAGCAGCAAGAAGAGCAGAGTAAGTCCTGCCATGGGCACGGCTGTGTGGCCGCCTCAGTCAGCTCTCAGGAGGCTCCTGTCACAGCCTGCACACAGCTGAAGGCTAATTAAGTGGTGGGACACATGGTTCAGAGATGCTCTCTGAACTAACCTAATATGAAGAAAAATAACAGCAAGAAAAATAACAATGAGAGGTGATACCACTAATTGAATTTTCACTATGTTCTAAGAGCTTTCCGTTTATTAATCTCATTTAACCCTTTCCACAACCCTGTAAGGTAGATGTTACCTCCCTTTCCTTGGCATAAAGTACCTTAACTAGGAAAAATAAGGAAATAAACATTACCTGTAATAATTCCACATTGACTCTTCTAATATTTTTTTAAGTGTATTTTTAAAAGGAAAGAAAGAAAAGGAGTTATCTTTTTAATACCATTCCCAGTGCTAAACCGAAAGATTCAGTTTC